TTTTTTTTTTTTTTTTTGTGAATTATGAGTGCCTACAAACTTTACGATTGTTTAGTATTAATCCTCCGTGATTATATATACTGTCTTTTCTTCGTCTCCTTAGCTTATTGTTCTAAACCCTGTTTCAATGTGCTACACTGGTACAGTTCAAAAATAGCTAAAGAAAGGATTTGACCCATGCCAATACACTCGATTAACCATCAACAAAAGCAGCATTTTCTCATCTTTCCTCCTCTCAACCCCACTCAACGGTGGCCCCTAGTTCTTACACATCGGCTCCTTCATAGTGTGACCATGGCTCTTCATCACTTCTAATTTGTAACAACGTATAGCTAAGGGACTAAAAATGACATTACCCAAATAATAATATTGGACTGCTGTGAACTAGTCAGAGCCACGATGTAGGAGTTGTGATTTTAAAATTAACCAGATAAAACTTGCAGCACAAAGGTAGACATTAGATCACAAACCTGTCCAGTGATATAGCTGGCAGCAGGACTGAGAGCCAAGAATTCCACCAGCCCAGCAACTTCTTCCGGTTGGCCATATCTTCCTGAATGGACAATAAGAAGTATGTCAATCTTAAAATAATCTTCATAATATTTTTGTGGTTCGTCAACTTTTTTTCTCTTCATGCACCTTTCTTAATTGATTTTACAACCTGATTACTTAAACAGTGAAAACAAGAAAAGGAGATCAAAAGCAAGAGCACAACATGAGTTAGGGTCAAAGCTTTTGCATTTACAGCACTTTTCACATGAAAACACAAATCCAGTTTCTTTCGGAAAAAAATCCAGCAGGGAATCAGTGTCACAAGCATACATCAATGATATGAAAGTCATATTAATTTCAAAAAAATGCACGACCAAGTTCCATTTTATACAACAATGTAGCACACTGGAATAAGGCTAAAAAGACAGAAAAATTATAGAAAAGAAAAAATAAATCCAATTCAACAACATAGGTCGCCAACAACTACAATCACAGAGTTATCACAATTACAATCACAGGGTTGTCATAACCACAATCACAAGGTTGTTGGTCGCTTAATTCAATGAGATAAATCAATAGCTTTTATCGATAAGCATGTTAAACAATGATGAGTAACCAATATCCGCATTGCTTAATATAAGCTATGACTAAAATTCCTAAATAGAAATAGTAACAAAATAAGATTTCTAACTAAAAAAGAAACAAGATTCTCAAATCCAATAAAAAATCTATTTAAGTAGCTCCTAAAAAAGCTAAATATACTTGATGATACATAAGGATTATGGTTATATAAGTACCTTGCATCATTTCTCCAATTTAGTAAAAACTCGTCATCGAGTTTCAGAATATCGAAGTAGCAAGAAGATAATAACAAGGATATGTTTTCCATAGAACCGAAACCAACCAAAACAATGGTCATCCTAAGAAAATGATGATTTCAAAAGCATATACTCTAGATGATTACTCATGAAAAATCCAGTGCAATTTTTTTTTGAAATATAAGAGAAGTAATATTATTTACAAAGGTACCAAGGAGGTACCAACCATAAAAAATTCGGTGCCAATAGACTTTATTATCATTCCTTGGACCCAAAAAATATTTTGTGTAGCCTCTTTAGTGGAGATCGTTCTTCTTCATGAAGATGAAAGCAATTAAGTTAACTAGAAATAACTGAGAAACCATGCGTAGCACCGAATATCATCATCTCAACTTGAGTGATATAATCACTTAATACTAAGTCGAGAGATCGATCATTAGATGACTCAATTTCTTCAGTAAAATTTACAACTTTCATAATCTCCACCATTACATCATCTATTGACTTGCTCTCATTAGCTCAGTTGTCAATGGTAATGACACCATCTTACTCTACAGAAAGAGATAACTCCTGGCATAAGGTAGTCACTCCACCACTATAACCACACACGAAAATGCATGAACATTTTATTGTCTACATCAAAGATAATTTAAGCTGAGACACGCATTTTAGATGTCCTTGCTAACCCATGAGCAATTAGCAATACCTTTCCCTTATCACTTAAAAAAAAATGTGTTGGGCTGGAGAGAGCAATTACTGAGATGTAATCACCTTCTTGTAAACAAGTATTATAATTGTCTCCACCTATGAGAGACATTCTTCCACTAAGGTCGAATGAACTCTAGAAAGTTCTTAAACATCTCTAGGATCAATCCTTCAAAATCAAGATCTAAAAGTGCAAGGTATTTGTAGCGCCCGGGGAAATTGAAGAAAAAAAAAAAAAAAAAAAAACGTGTGTGCCACGTCAGCAGGCCCAGTCAGCAGGCCTGGCCAACCAGAACCTGCCACGTGGCAAAACCACGTCGACCGGGGACGGGTCACGTTGGCGATCCGCATGCGCATGATCGGACGGTCCAGATCAATCGCGCGCACGGACGACCCAGATTTAATCGCACGGACGGCTCAGATTTAATCAAAAACGGACGGCTCAGATTAAAACAAAATGGACGGCTGAGATCAAAAGGCAAAAGGGTATAAATAAGACCCCCACACCAGACCCCAAACCCTAGCCACCTGCCCTCGCCGGAGAAGACGAACCAGAAGCCAGCCGCCGCCACCCGCCGCCGCACCGGAGGGATTTCCGACCGCCGATCGAGATAAATTTCATACCCCCGACTCGTTTTTCCACGCTGATTTCCCCAGTGACCAAATCGGAGCCAAAATCCCGGCCAAACACCCGGGAAAATACGGCCGAAAGCCAGCGGCGCTGCCGCGCCCCTTCTCGGTTTTTGCCTCCGATGAGGCCCTTCCCGGCCTCCGTTTAATGCAATTTTTATATCACCGTGATCACCATTCTTTTCTCTACAGGTTGATCGGAACCGAATCACCAAAACACGAACTTCACCGGAGAGCCGCCGCACCCGAGAGCACCGCCGCCGGTAAGCTTCAGTTTTCCGTAAATTTTCGGCCCCCCGAGGGCCGTAGTGTTGTTTTATCGCAGGAACCAATGCGAGTGTGGCTGAATTCGGCCGAAAACAGCCAACCCGAGGCGAACCGCCGCCGCACGCGGGCGGTGCCGTCGCCAGAGCACGGCGGAGCCGCCGTGCCGGAGTTGCAATATTGGCCGAAAGGGGCCCTGGGCCTAATTTGGGATTTTTTGGAACACGTGCAGGTACCAGTAGTGCATTTCAGCTCCCCGGAAAAAATTCAGGAAAAATTAGGGACAGCCTGCAAGCGCACTGTGAAGCCGTGTTCGGACCCCGAAACGAGTAAGGACCCCTCACCCTATTTCCTATCACAGTTTTAAAGTTCAATAAATGATAAAAACGGTATTTCATGAATCAACGAATGGGTGAAATTGCTTAAGGTCGCTAATGGAGCCCGAGTCTAGTGTGTTTGTCGGTTAATTGTTATTTGGTCTGTTTTACAGTTTTAAATGTAGTATGAGGTTTGATGTTTTCATTTTATAGTTTAGTGTGCATATTGTACTGTTTTATTGATTATGGGTTGAATGACTGGGATATTGATACTGTATGTTGTCTGTTTGGCATAAATTACTGTTTTGCTTGTTTGTATGTGGATTAATGATGCTGACTGAGGAAAAAGAGAATGAAAAAAATTATGTAAATGGGTAATGGTATAATGTGGTCAGCCTGACTAGATATCCTGGGAGATGGTAGACGGATCGGGTCCGTAGGGAACCCTACCGGGATTGTGGTCTCCCATATCGGACGGGGTATGGGGATCTTATGTGTTTTGGCGCCCATACCGGACGGGGTATGGGGACGGCCCGTTTCACCCTCATACCGGACGGGGTAATAAGGTCTATGTTTTGGCGCCCATACCGGACGGGGTATGGGGACGGCCCTGGAATATGATTTCAGGTGTTAAGGGTTAACGGGTAGCGGGACCCCTATGGATCCCCATGGATACTAGTGGGCTGGTAAATGAGGAAAATATGTTGTGTAACGATTGAATTACGAAAAGTTTGATAGGTATTATGTTATACAGTTTATATATATGTTTTCATGATGATGATGATGTTATTGTTTTCGTATATTGTTTTATAAATTTCACCGAGATAAGTGAATGGTAAAGGTTTTATTATCGATAAAAGGATTTGTTGTAAATTATGCTCCATTGGTCTTTTTGTGTTTTCTACCCACCTTTACCTCCGTGACGGTGAGATATCGTGATGTCTTTACTGGGCTAGTGTAGCTCATTCCTTATTTAATCATTTCAGATCAAGAAAACATCGTTCCCGAGCCGGTTCCGCAGGAGGACGACGAAGGGGACGCCTAAAGACTCCATAGTCACATTCGTAGCTTTTACTTTCAAGTTTCTCCTTTAGGTAGTTTGATCTTTTATATTTTGTGAGCACGTTTTTGGTTTTAGTGTAAAGGATGTTATTCAAATTTTGACTTCGCTTCCGCATTTGATATTTTTAATATACATTTCATTATGAATTTCCGGGGCTGTTACAGTATTGTCAAAGTCTTGCAACCCTTTCAAGGATTTAGATCTCTTTTAAAAGTGATTATCTGTCCTGTCAGCTAATACTTTAAATGTTGAAACAATCAACTTAAAAAACTTTAATTATCACCCGAAGGAATATCCAGTGCAACTATTCTATAACTCACACATGCAGTAAGTAATTTCAAGTTTCTCATTGATATTTAAGTGCTTAAGAAGTTGACTAATGACCAATACTATTAATAATAGACAAAGTGAATCTCACATCAACTTGAATGGATCTTGTACCTTTAAGAGGCAATAAATAATTTTGTCTAGACGGTCAAGAAGTACATTAGTTGAGTGAAGATTGTTGTAAGCATATGACCAATCTCCATAACCATCATTCTCAAGCCCTTTACCAGAAAACACCGTAATATTACCATGCATTATCTTCATTCCCTCTTTCATCGACCAAAATAAAATACTTAAGATACAAACCGAGTAGCTCTGATTGAAGCTAAGAATAAATTATCCCTTACTTGCTCAAGTAGTTAATCTTCTCAAAAAAGTGAGTTTATAATAATTTGGTAAAACTGACCTCAGAAAGTAAACAACATGCTGAAAATACTTAAGAACGGGTGAAAAATCGGCCGGACTTGGGTGAATTGAACTGGTCAAACCAGATAGATCAACTCTGTGGGAATTGGTCAAACAAGACAATCTCAATCATAGATCACGCAGGTGTGAGACCCATGCTACATTTTTTAGGGTCCTTCAAACTTTAGGGATTTGGTTCAAACCTTGGCTAGCACAATTGGTTCTAGATCCAATGCCGGATATTGTTGGAGTGTCTAAGAAAGGGGGTCTATAGCAAGGCATCAGCTGTTCAAGGGTTTGGCAGCAAGTGTCATAGATTCTGGCGGTATTTGAAGTTGCATTCTGGAACCTCGGTCAGCCAGCAACCTCTGATGCAGATGGTGGTGTAAGTGTCATCCACCTTCCTACAATGGCCAAAGATCTGGTTTAGGCTAATGGCTTACAAGTGTTTGTGTGTCTCTCTCCTGCAACTTTGAGTTCTACTTTTGTAGTTTCAGCTGATTTAGGGCTTTTCTGTGATTAGGATAATTTGAGGGTTTGTGGGGTGGAAACTTAATATCAAAAGTAGGAATTTTGAGCTCTAAAACTAAATTGATATAGCACAAGGGAAGAGAAAGTTAGGAAAAAAAATAAGGGGAAGAAAAGATAAATCCAATCCACAATCACAGGGATTGACGATAAACACAATACAGGATTGTCACAACCACAATGACAGGGCTGTTGGATGGACACAATTGAATGAGAGAAACAATATTTTTTATTCATAAAGAATTAAATAATGATGAAACACTCGTCTATTCATAGGGTACTTACCCTAAAATAACTAGCATCTCTACATAAGAAAATAGTAACAAAAAAGATCTCTAACTAAATAAAATTCTCGAATCAGTTATAGACCTATATAAATAGTTTCTAAATAATTCAAACACCCTTAACAACACATGAGATTATAATTACATAAATATCTTAGAATATTGAAATATGTCTATTCTGGGATATTCTTATTCTGTATCAAGAAACTCTCACCTAAGGGGATAGTCGCCAAGATTTTCTTCTCAAGGTCTTCTCCAAGCTTGGCTGTCATGTCAGATGCTATGAATCCTGGGGCAATAGCATTGACCTAGAAGAACACACCCCCATAAGAGTGGAGTTGTGTATTAGCTCAATGAACAATAATTTGGAATTATTCCCCCATGATCAGGGAAAAGATAAAGGGCAAGATAAAAAGAACAAAAAAGGAAAGAACTCAGCAAAACTCACATTAATGTTTCTGCTTGCATATTCCCTTGCAACAGTCTTTGTCAGACCAATTACTCCAGCTTTTGCAGCACTGTAGTTGGCTTGCCCTATATTCCCAGTTAGACCAACAACCGATGCTATATTGATAATCCTTCCCTGCAATGTCAGAACTCAGACGATATTAAGATTCTCATTCTCCCCATAGAATACACAGAATTTATTTATGTTGTTAGAATAATTCTCATACTGTTCAAAAAGTAGAATATCCAAAAAAAAAGTTAAGCAGAAAATGCAAGATGAGACTTGAGAATTAAAACAGAAAGATATCTAAAGCTGTTTCAGTTTGTTGACTGTGCCAAACTTCAGCCTCATTCCATCAAATAGCCAGTACAGAGGAACTATGAACTCTTCAGATGGGATGATGGGATGTGTACTTTTTTCTCTTCATCATGATTTGGTTGCTGCTACAAGGACAGTTGTTTCAGTTCATAGAAATCCATCCTAGAGCACATTCTCAGACTTAGTGAAAACCGGGACGAGGATACTCAT